GGTGGATGCCCCATCCCTGGAAACATTCAAGGTCGGGTTGGACGGGGCTCTGAGCAACCTGATCTAGTTGAAGATGTCCCTGCCCACGGCAGGGGGGTTGGACTAGATGACCTTTAGAGGTCGCTTCAACCCAAACTATTCTATGATTCTATGATTAAAGCTAAACACGTTTCTGCCTTCATAAGTAAACATTATGACTGCATATTTCTTCTCAAATACAGCAAAATACAGAGCTGTCACACTTGCATTAAGAGCTTTGATCCAATATACATTAAGGGAAAAACAGATCCACAGGATACTATTTATGCAGCACTCTGCACTTAAGCATAACAACAGAAATACTGCTTACAATTACAGCTTAATCATAATTAGTACGTTCCCTACTGTACTCCAGTCCTGACAATAGCATTCCCTTACTCGCCAAACTGGAAAGAGGATGCACGCCCAGCGGCTTGTGGGGCTGCTGGGTCGCCTGTCGCCCGGCTTAGGTGCTGGTTTGACTTTCCTGGGCGGTTTCCCGCTCCTCAGGGGTGCTGAGCCGAAGTGGGTGGTTGCGGTGGGGCTGCACCATCAGCAGCTGGTCCTGCCACGCCGCTCTGTGTCGTACCAGGAGAGCGAGGCGCTGCGGTCTTCAGGGCGCGTTTCTGTGTGGCGGGGTGCTGCCGAGCCGCTGGAGCCTGCTCGTGCCCAGTGCTCCCGGAACCCGGCTGACCTGGGTTGTCCCAGCCCTGTCCTGAGAAAGGTCGGGTACACTGCCGTGTTAGGTAGCTTAGGTAAGGGGGTGGGCCAGTAGGGCTTATTGACGGGGTTTGCAGCCGCGCTGAATAACTGTACCCTTCAAGGAACCAGTGAACACTTGGTGATGGGGCACCTTAGAGCGTGGGGGGATCAAGAATTGTAGCATGCTGGCCTCTGCTTAGGCACTGAATTTGACAAAAGCTTAGCTGTGATGTCCTAAGCAAGCAAATGGTGGCATGAATAGTGCCTAAAGGATTTTTAATATTTATTATTTTCCTCTTGGGTGATATTCTTTATTCTCCATGCCACAAGAGACAGTACAGTTTGTGACTGGTCAGGAAGTACAAATGCTGACTGCCTGTCATCCTCCTCCTAGACTATATATATATATATATAGCAACTGGACCAACTGCCTTTCTTTACTGGGGTACTTTTCTGACCTGCCACTGGTCTTTATGGAGCTTAGATGATCCTAGTTGTCTTTGAAATACTTTTTTTATCTCAAAGTTGATTGAAAATGGCCTGCAGATTTGAAAATTATTGTGGGATCTCAGAGACAGAAACTGCAGTTGCATAAGCCTTGTTTCCTTTGTAAACCAAGCTAAAATACTCTAATTTTGCATATTTTCGCTAACACAAAGCATGTCTTTTAGCAGTAACAGCAATATTATAAATAAAACAATACACTTTGGTATAAAAATACGTATATAATCTATTTAAGAAATATAATTATTTAAGATAATGTTTTAAAGCTGCTTTAGTCAAACTTTTATTATATTGGACCTATGCCTACTACCGTTGCAGACTGGCACAATTCCTCCTTAATTGAATTATTTATTCCTTATGTTCCTCTAGAATCCTTTTATAGTGTTAGGAAAGGACCTTTTTAAGTTTCATCCTTAAACTTTTTCAGCTTTACCCATATCTCACTGGAAAACAGTAAACACAACTGTTGCAGCCCTTCAGAAAAAAAGAGATTCTGCTTTCTACTTTAAAAGCCAAAGTGCTGTTTGTTTGAGCTTGCGATAATGGGCCCCAAGTTACTGAATCTGAAAATTAGAATGGAATGAAAACAAATTGTAGGTTCCTCTGCCTGTCATGCTCTTTGTCCTTCTCTAGTTGTTTCTATCACTGGCTTACTCAGTTTTAAAAATAGCATGAGTTATCTCCACAGCCTTCTGATCCGATCCTGCCACATCAGACATTGGTACAGTTCATTACAGTCAAGGCTGAGATAACAATGCAATCATGAAAGTGTTTCAAAATGTGTTGCTCTTACAGCTTGTTTACAATTGTTGGTTTATTTTTTTTTCCTTAACCAAAATTGCATTATATGGAACAGATTATCTTTCATAAGCAAGGTTTACATTAGGTTTACACATTTATCTACCTTTGTACTTAAAAGTAACTTGCAGCATGGCATCGTTAATAATATCAAGTTCCAAATAATCGCTCTTATCTGTATTACCAAAACTTCAACAGATACTCAGAGAAACAAAGTAGGTCATTTAGAAGAAAGCCTTGAAAAACTCCATGATGGCAGCTAGCATTCCAAAATATTGTTACCTATGTCTGATAGTAAGATGGAAAATGAGACTTTCCTGCAGGAACTTTATAATTGCCTTTAAAATAAATGGCTATGATTGTCTGAATCATTCATACTTAACTAAGGCAAGTACCGTACTTTTTTCTTGTTCCATTTGCCAGCCATGGTATCTGATTCCCATGTAAGTTAGCCTTGAATATCAATATACTGGAAAACAGGCCACTTACCATACGAGTGTCGTGTTCTTTACAGTCTGTCAAGGCCCGGGAGGCAGAGGCTTGGTTTGTGCTTAGTTTAGTGAGAAGTTCTGCCTTGTCTACGGCTCACCCACGGGCTCCTTTCACGATAAGCACGGGCTTTGTGCCTCAGTTGTTCTTTCTGTGAAATAAGCCTTACATTTTGGTTGATTCTCTGCTTCCCCATCCATAAACATGCATTACGAAGTGTTCTACATTAAAAAAAAAAAAAAAAGCCTGCTACATCCATCTTAGGACTATGTCTGTAATACAATGAATGGACTAGGGACTTTTATGTCCAGCAGGCAAGTGGCACGGTGCAGATGGCATCCATGCTCCAGTGCTGTCTGCCACCCCCAAATTTCTTGATGGACATGGCCCCCCACGTGCTTCCCCAAACTCCTGCCTGGGCAGCGCTTGCTGGCAGAGCGTTCTGACAGTTAAATAGTATGGATGTTTACAAGTCCATGTTCAAACTTGAAGGCAAAAATACCCTTAAGATGCTGTCAGATTTTTTTTAAACAAATACTGTTTGTGTATGCAATTAAGATGTGTGTATGTGTAAAGCGATTTTAAAAAGAGCATGAAGTTAAATCTTAAAAATAATATACCTAGTGTCTTCGGTTTTTTCCTCAAAAATGACCCTCCTTTCTTCAGGTATTACCATTCAAATTGTAAAGTGTCATTGAAGTAATTGTGCAGAGCGAATTAATTTTTAAACGGAACTCCATTGCTCTACCATTTTAAGATGGCATTCAGTACTTTTACCAACTTTTCCCCCCCCTTCTGCAGTCGACGGGTAAGAGCGGCGTTGCCTTTGCTCGCCTGGATCTTACTGAAACACCGGAACCACTTAGTGACGCAGTCAGGGAGGGTCTGAAGTCACGACGGGGGGTTCCCCC